TTTTGTATTTTTAGTAGAGACGGGGTTTCACCATGTTGACCAGGATGGTCTCGATCTCTTGACCTCGTAATCCACCCGCCTCAGCCTCCCAAAGTGCTGGGATTACAGGCGTGAGCCACTGCGTCCGGCCCTAATTTTTCTATTTTTAGTAGAGACGGGTTTTCACTGTGTTGGTCAGGGTGGTCTGAACTCCCGACCTGGTGATCTGCCAGCCTCAGCCTCCCAAAGTACTGGGATTACAGGCAGGAGCCACCACGCCCAGCCCTGAGTATGTATTTTTCTCTGTGAGTGCCACAGAGGCTTTGCAAGGTGGTTCACTTTGAACTCAGAACCTCCATCATGCGATCTTTCTGAAGATGGGCTTTCTTTGGGGGATCTTAGAGGCCACTGCATTTGAACAGTGTGCTCTCTACAGAAGCAGCTGAGGCCTGTGGGAAGGCAGCACCACCCTCCTTTTTTAATTAATTTATTTTTGAGACTGCGCCTTGCTCTGTTGCTCAGGCTGGAGTTCGGTGGCATGATCTCAGCTCACTGCAACCTCTGCCTCCCAGCCTCGAGTGATCCTCCCAAGTCAGCCTCACTAGTAGCTGGGACTACAGGCATGCACCACCACTCCCAGCTAATTTTTTATTAACATCTTTGTAGAGACAGGGTTTTGCCATATTGCCCAAGCAGGTCTCAAACTCCTGGGCTAAAGTGTTCCAGGGGAGCCTCCCAAAGTGCTGTGGTTACAGACATGAGCCACCATACCTGGCCCTTTTTAAATTCATCTTCCATGAGCTAACACTCTCTTTCCCTTTCTAGATTGATTGGGGCGACTTTGGGGTGGAGGCACTGTCTGAGGGGACTGACTCTGGCATCTTTGCCGAGGCTTCTGCAATTGACTGGGGCATCTCCCTGGAATCAGACTCAAAGGTGAGGAGGCCCTCTCAGTCCATCTCTCTGATCACTACTCTAACCATAAGAAAAGTGTCATTTCTGTCTATAAAGGCATCACTTCAAGTTCATAGCCCTAAGACCAGGTAGAGTCCAAGGCAGAGTTTTATACGTCACATATCAGAGTTTTGTTTTGTTCTGTTTTGTTTTGTTTTGTTTTAGACAGAGTCTCATTCTGTTGCCCAGGCTGGAGTGCAGTGGCACAATCTTGGCTCACTGCAACCTCCACCTCCTGGGTTCAAGCAATTCTCCTGCCTCATCCTCCCAATTAGCTGGGATTATAGGCACCTGCCACCACGCCTCGCTAATTTTTAATAGAGACGAGCCTTCACCTTGTTGGCCATGCTGGTAATTCCTGACCTCAGGTGATCCACCCGTCTTGGCCTCCCAAAGTGCTGGGATTACAGACGGGCGTGAGCCACCTCGCCCGGCCCATGTCAGAGATAAGTTTTGATGTCCCTTTTCCTGGTGTTTGGTCCAGGGTGTGGGGGTATAGGCAGGTGGGAACACTACAGAGCAGGGATGAGGTTGGCCATATAAATGGGCCATACTGCTGTCTTTGCCAGCAAAGTCAGGGCTGCAAGTCCTTAATAGAGTTGGAATGTGCAGCCGTTGACCTCATCAAAGGCTTTGGTTTATTCTGACTCCTTGGCTCAGGAAAATTCCCCCACCATTGCTAGAGTTCTTTGCTCTCCTTCCAGGACCCTGGAAGTGATGGGATAGACTGGGGAGACGATGCTGCTGCTTTGCAGATCACAGTGCTGGAAGCAGGAACTCAGGGTAAGTGTACCATCCCCTGCAGCCCTGGCAAAAATGGGGTGCTCAAGGGTCCCCACTTGTATAGACACAGAAAAAATGCAGCGCTAAGATGAGGCTTCTCGTACATTTAACTGTTTCTCAAAACCTTGATGAGGATGTGAGTGGAGGGGGACCAAGAGAGGTTGTTGGTTGTTTTTTGTTTTTTGTTTTTTGTTTTTTTTTTTGAGATGGAGTTTCACTCTTGTTACCCAGGCTGGAGTGCAATGGCGCGATATCGGCTCACCGCAACCTCCGCCTCCTGGGTTCAGGCAATTCTCCTGCCTC